CAACAGATAGCTTCCAGAGCCATACACTCAGCAGCCAGACCACGAGGTGAGTTTCCTGCCAGTAGGAACGGGTCTAAGGCCACAATGCCGACCCGTATAGCTAGTAGTAGTTTCCAGACTTCGGTCCGATGCAGATTTTATTATGTTTGATGCCTTCGTGGTTCAAACAGGATTTATGTGTTATGTGTTCCGGGTTACAGCCCGATGCAGTATGCTGTTTATGTGTTCATGCTACTTGATATGTTTATGCTATGCTATGATCAGTAGTTCCGGACTTCGGTCCGATGTAGTTAGTCCCGGACTTCGGTCCGATGCAGGAGGCAAGGCCTCAGTAGTTCCGGACTTCGGTCCGATGCAGAGGGCAAGGCCCTGTCTAGTTCCGGACTTCGGTCCGATGCAGTTTCCAGACTTCGGTTCGATGCAGTGGGCAAGGCCCAGTATGTGTTTATATGTACTGTATGGTATGTGGTAGTTTGGGGGAGCTCACTAAGTTTCATGCTTACAGTTTCAGTTTTGGTTTCAGGTACTTCCGCAAGCAAAGGGAAGAGCTCGTTTTGATGGTATCGCATACACCACAGTTTCAGTTGTCCTGGGAGATGTTTCTAGTTTTTCATAAATGTGATTGATACAGCTTTGATACAGTTCTACATAACTATTAGTTACCGTTTTGAAATATTGACGTATGAGTTTTACTTTGTGATATTATTTTGGTACTTTTAGTAATTGTTAAACAAAAATTTTTGGGTCGTATTTTGGAATGTTTCAAATGAAGCACTGAGCCAATCCGAAGCCGACATGTGTAGCCTCGCTGTCCGACGCGTGCTTGCCTGCGAGCAGAGCCACCTGGAGCCTTCGCATGCGCGCCATCTGGTCCTCTCGCGAGCCGCCAGCTGCCCCTCCTCCCTTCGGCCGAAGACCTTCGCCCCTATAAATAGGAGGGTGCGAACCCTCCCGGCTAAGATTAGAAAATTCACACTTTTCACCCCTTTTTCCATATTTTCTTCATTTTGACTTTCCCCAAAGCCCCGATATCAATTTTAGCACCCGAAACACGTCTCGAAGCTCCCGAGAAGCCCGGAAATTTTATTTTTTCGGTTTTGAAGCCCTACCTTCGTAGAGCCCGGTTTTCAATTAAGCTCCCGGTTTTCAACATAGAAAGTCATATTTAAAGCCGAAGTGCTGTCAAAATTACTATTTTAACCCCCGGTTAATTCAAGGTGAGTTCAATATATAGGAACAATTGTATGTTATGTGTTATATGTGCTATGTGCTTTTCAGTGTTATTATTCTGATTTATTTTCCCGTGTTATTTTATTCGCTATGTTTATAGCAAATGTAATACCTTTTACCATGTGATCAGTGAAAGGATTTAGATTCACATTGGTACTGGTACGTAGCCTCTGGCCATGTAGAGCATGTCTCCGTAAGAGAATGACTTCTATTCTATGACATCGGCAAATGGTTAGACAGGACTATAAGCCTGAAATCTAACAAGATGTTAATCAGAAATTGCATGTCTTCTATGCCATTTGGGCCAAAGTTTTATTGATATATATTAAGCATTGAATAGTATATCTTTGAATAAAGTCTTTGATTGATATGAACGCTTGTCACATGATTTCACATATGTCTTGTTGTTCCTCTTTGCTTTTGCCACATTGAAGTATATATATGGCATAATGTTATATTGTATCTATTATTGAACTCACTAAGCATCACCGCTTACCCTATCAATGTTTAACAATTGCAGGTGATAAGTAACTAGTATGATCACATACTGTTGAAAGATTTAGAATAGTTTGTAATAACACTTTTGTACTTCAGTTTATGTTTGTATAAATTACAATATCCTGGGTAGTTATGTAATATATAACACTTTGTAATAGTCAGTTTGTATCCAGTAGTTTGTAATCCCTTTATCAATATAAAATATTGCTTTTATGAATATACAAGTAACATGTTTTGGAGTAATAATATTGTGAAGTATGAAAGTTTGAGTCTTTCAAAAATACGAAAGTTGGGGTCTTTCATTTTATATAGTAATCTTACGGAAGTTATTGATAGATAAATGCCATAAAAAGAGAAAATTACAAATATAACAAAAATCATTAATTACTTTGTAGAAAATTGCCAAAAAAACCCAAATTACAAAAATAATCTTCAAAATCGCAGATGGATTAAGCTCATCTACAATTTCACCAAGCCATTTATGAACGTACAAGTCGCTAAAGCACATCCGTGCTTTAGCGACTTGTACGTTTGCATATATATATATATATATTGTATAAATAGGAGGTACAAGTGATTAAAATCGCAGATGAACTACGTCCAAGTTCATTTGCGATTTCGTTATTTTTTCACTATGAAATTGATAGAGTTTGACTAGGAAACAACCATATTATATATAGGTTATTGCAAAAAATTATTACTTTTATTGTTATTTCTTTGAAAAATATGTTTAAAATCTTTTTAATAAAATGAATAAATATTTGCTTTGTCAAATCGTCCATAATGCATAGAGAGAGAGAGAAGTATGAAAAATAAAACAAACAAAAAAAATTACGTTTTTATAGCTGCGAAAAAGGTGAAATCGTAGATGGAATGTGAAATAATAGATGGACTAGTCTCCATCTGCGAACGTACAAATCGCTAAAACATGGATGTGCTTTAGTGACTTGTACGTTCGCAGATGGCTTTGTCAAATCGCAGATGAACTTAATTCATCTGTAATTTTACAAACTATTTTTGTATTTGGGGTTTTTTGGTTAATTTCTACAAAGTAATTAACGATTTTTATTATATTTGTAATTTTCTTTTGGAATTTATAGTGATGTTTATTAAAAAAAAAAAATCTCTGTGTAATTCGATAAAATACAATATGTGGTGCAATTTTCCATGACCGTATCAACATGAAATATGTGATTTTTAAAATATAGCAATGTAGGATATATATTACAACAATTTTTAACAACATATAAATAATATAAAGTCAACCTTTATTGAGAAGAAAAAGTTTTATATCCATAAAATTGTCAAGAAAATTGTTTATATTTTATTTTAGAATAATTTATACATATATATATATATATATATATATATATATATATATATATATATATATATATATATATATATATATATATATATATATATATATATATATATATGGAAAAGTGAATATACCCTTAAGGGTATATAAGCTTAGGTACCCAGATCACAATACTACATCGTTTTGTATCATATATATATACATTGTAATTGTCCAATTTTCTTATAATTCAACTTGTAACATGATTTACTTCCAAGATTTTTATACATTTCATATTTATCTTCCTCTTACATAATTTTCATTTTTAACTATAATATATATAGTCTAGTAGGTGTTCCGCAAAAAGATGTGATGTAAGATGAAGATAATAGTGAAATTTCGAAAAATCATGAAAGTAAATCAAGTTAGGGTTGAAGTTTAAGAACATTATAATGAATATATCAAACAAAACGGCGTATTATGGTGGGTTTGGGTACCTAAGGTTATATACCCTTAAGGGTATATTCACTTTTCCCATATATATATATATATATATATATATATATATATATATATATATATATATATATATATATATATATATATATATATATATATATATATATATATATATATATATGGGAAAAGTGAATATACCCTTAAGGGTATATAAGCTTACGTACCCAAACATGCCATAATACATCGTTTTGTTTGATATATTCATTATAATATTGTTAAACTTCAACCCTAACTTGATTTGCTTTCAAGATATTCGAAATTTCACTATTATTATTCTCTTACATCACATATTTTTGCCGAACACTTACTAGGCTGTGTATATTTTAGTTGAAAATGAAAAATTATATAAGAGGAAGATAAATGTGTAAATTATAAAAATATTGGAAGTAAATCAAGTTAGAAGTTAAATTATAATAACATTGAACAATTAGAATGTATTATATGATACAAAACGATGTGGTATGGTGAGTTTGGGTACCTAATCGGGCTTGGTTAGACCCACGAGCCTAATCGGGCTTAGTATCACAGACTTAGAGCCAGAGATCGTTTAATAAACAAGCTTAATCTTAAGCTCGATCTTGGCTCATGCTTGTTTAAAATCGATTTCCAATCAAACTTTTAACGAGTTGATTCTAAGTAACCCACAACTAGTTTGACTTGTTTGCAACCTACTTCTGAGAACCATATATACACTTGCATGATATCACAAGGGCTGGTAAAAATGTACCACAGAGAACCAACCAACATGTTACCAACCGAACCAATAAAATCGGTAGCCAACATGTTTGGTAGCCAATATGTTTGGCCGGTAATACCATGTCAATTAAGTAGTTTTGGTACGGTAACGGTACAAAATTTTGAATACCACGGTTGTGCCATACCAACCTATATATATATATATATATATATATATATATATATATATATATATATATATATATATATATATATATATATATGTATATATCCTTACATTTTCAAGTTTTAGTTAGGAGTAACAACTAAAAAGTAATAGTCAAAGTTACTAATATAATTCAATTGATATTGATTCTTTTTTTGAATGAAACATTATAGTAAAAGAAATTACTAACACATGGTTAAGGAAGGTACATGACACTAAAAGGATGTACTAAAACAAGCGACGACCACAACTTCAACTCACGTTCATATTTGGAAAACTTTCTAACAATTCAGTGATGATTATAATGTGAAGTCTTATATAGATTATAGTTTTAAACTCTTCAAGTATAGATATTATTTAAATATTTTGGTATATATCAATACCAATATGTACCAACCAAATTTGTTGGTAACCAACTAAGTTGGTACCAAGTATTATTGGTACGGTATTGGTAGGTAAAACTTTATGCCAATTATAATTGGTACGGTACACGGTTTGGAGGAAAAAACTTGGTACCGTACCAATTCCACCCCTAGATATCACAAAGCCACCCATCGTCAAACCAAAAATAATTCTTTAAATACATGCTATCAATACATTTAAACTTATAAACTTATAACATGTGACAATCCGTTAACTCAATAGAAATCCTCATTTACCCATCGGTTTTTCTATGATACAATCAAGATCCTAAAATAACTACCAATTAGAGACCAAGTATGTTGCAAATACAACCTCATAAGACCAAACGCGTTGGAATGTTGCCATCATACACCCCATTCATCGCTTTTTTCGCCTGCAAAACATTAGTAGATGTTAGCATTATATGTATATTTCTCTAAGTGTAGAGAATTATTATATTATTATCCTTTCTTAGTTTGTTATATATTTTCCTTTTCTTCTTTTGTGGCTAATGTAATAAGCAACTTTTCTGTTTATTTAAATTTATTCTTTTGATTCATCTTTTTAAAAAGACATTTATTTTACTTTTGTACTCTATCTCTCTTTTCTACCGGTGAGTGTGTAGTATTTGGCTGATGTGGTTGGCTCTTATGCGTGATAAGTTGGGATGCTTACATGTCGTAAGTTGGAGTCCTCGGTGTTTTAAGTTGAGTTTTTTTTTTTAAAAAGAAAATCAAGAACTACAAGTATCTTGGTAGATGTGAGACTTTAGAAGAAGACAAGTAGCTTTATATACATAAGTCATGCATACTTCTTTTTCCCAGTTCGTACAAGCCGTGATTATCAAAAGCAGCGCTGCTTGAACACCACTCCCACAAATAATCCCCATCCACAGACCCTGCAAACGAATTCAACAAAATCAAGCCCACTAAAAAAAAAGAGAAAAAAGCTAACAAGAAATCGAACATCACCTTCCCTCCCAAACCATACACAAATGTCAGAGCCATGGCGAAAGGAATGCCGACGAGGTAATAAGCTCCTAAATTCACCAACGTGCAGATCTTCTGCCAACCACATCCTCTCGCAACACCTTTGATTTCAGACCACGAGAATCGTTAAAACCTTTGGGGTTCATGGTTCATCTTTAATCTGTATATATAAGTCTAACCTGATAGTACACCTTGGATTCCATCCATGACGTTTGATACAGCGAGCACCGGCATAACTACCGACATATAGCTCACAACTTCAGCTTCATCGGTGTACAACTTAGTCCAAACGCCACCAGCCACCACTAAAAGCAATCCAATCAAGAGTACTTCTGTGACAACTAGTGATAAACCAACCCATACCGCTAATTCTGCCGCTTCGTGTTTTCCTGCTCCAAGTTCATTTGAAACCCTGGTGCTGTTAATTAGCGCGATAAATCATAAATGTCAGTAACTAGTATATAATATACTAGAAAGATATAGACATATGAAGAGTATATATATATATATATATATATATATATATATATATATATATATATATATATATATATATATATATATATATATATATATATATATATATATATATATATATATATATATACCTGACTGCACTGCCTAAACCGAAGGGGATTCTGTAGGCCAATGAGATTGTACTAAGACTGTAGAGAATTAAAGAAGCTTTGAAATGTTAGTATGAAGTATGAAGCTCAATCTTTAAGTGGAAGAAAACAGGGCTTGAATGCATGCAATGCACCTGATACACATCATCGATGTTTCTAGCTTTGGATTTGGAAGGATTCCAGAGAGTAAAACAAGAAACTCATACGACCAATACTCCAAGCTTATATATATGATGAAAAAAAAGAACCGAAAGAAGGTATCTTTAAATTTTTAACAATAAAGACCGGAAAAGATGGCGAAAAAAACAAGCAGCATTGATTTGAAACTGACCAAACCATGAGAGCTGAAGGTATTCCTAAAGCAAGAAATCCAGCAAGATCACGAACACCATCTATCGAAAACCCGAGCCATGTTCTTTCACAGGTATGCGAAAACTTGATATAAAGACCCAGAATCAGCACATTAATCCAGTACGAGATGGCAACCGAGAGAGCAGCACCCGAGCTACCAAACCCACATTTGGAAACCAAGATCCAACAACATAACACATGAAGTAAGCTTGCAAATCCTGTGCTTATCATTAATGGCTTCGTGTTGTTTTGAGTCTGCAAGAATCTGATCTGGCATTGAAGAAGACAGTACGGAAAGATGCTGGGGATCAACCAACGTGCGTAATTCCCAGCTTGTTCCGAGATTTCCAAATCTTGTCCAAAATACGTAAAGATTTTCCCCGTGGATGCCCAAATCAGAGAAATCGGGATACCCATCAGCATCAGTATTGCCATGGCTCTTTGCAAGTGTACACCAAGCATATGATACTGTTTTGCACCATAAGCTTTTCCACAGAATGTTTCCAATGCGCTCCCCATACCCATCTGTAAAGAAATAAAATGAATCAATTAACTATACAGAAAATAACCCATAAGAGGAAACACAAGTACACAACGTAACAGATCTTTTTGTTACCATGAAGGAGAAACCCGTGACACTGGCGAAAGAAGTGGCCATAGACGCACCGGAGAGAGCAAGCTCTCCAAGATGGCCTATGAACATGATTGATGTTAGCAGAAAACTGTACTGAAGAAAGCTAACGAGAATAAAAGGGCCTGCTAACATCAGTTGTTGCTTCAGTTCTGTGAAAACCTCGGTTACATGATCAAACTCAGATCTGTATTTCGACTTTTGGATTATAAGAGAAGACCCGATAAGCGGTTTGGAGTCCATTTCTCTTCAATTTTCTCTCCTTGATCGATAGTCTTTGGAACTTTTAATAAAATAGAAGAATTGATAATAAAGGTTTTAATTAAAACACATGGAGAATGAGATGTTTTGTGGCACTTGATTTCGGAAAAAGGGATGCAATATATGGGGAGAAAAAGACATGGAGAGTTTTGTAAAAGTTGACAATGGATGTAAAAGATACATAAAATCACATTACTTTTAAAGACCGATCATGCATGATCGATAACGTGCGATTTGACTAGCCTAACAGTTGGTGACTCAGTAATAAGACCTAGTGGATCTAATTACGCTTTAATCATCTGATAATTTATTGGACAATTTACATTATTGAAGTCGAAAGCAAAAAAATTTAAGCTATCTGCTTTTTGCCCCACTTGGAAAAGCTTAGGCATACCCGTAGATATGGTACATTCATCGATGAAGCTGGTGTTTGCTTCCAAAAAGGCCTTATCCTCGTCTGAAAAGTGGAAATGATCATCAGAATTCAGAAAAAAACCCATATTCCTTGGAAAGATCATTGTCACACTCACTTTGTACATATGTAATAAATTAACCAATGTTGAAATACTCTCAATACTTTTAAGTTTTTGGTGGAACTATTTTATTAAAAAGTTCATTTTATCTCCATAATAGAAGAAGAGCTTTTTCAAATTGCTGATTTACGTCACCTAAATATAAGTATCTATTTACAATTGGTTGAAAAACAATAGACCAACCAAATCATTGAAAAACTCTTGGGCAAACTTGTTAATTAACAAGTTCTTTGAAAAAGTTATGGTTTCAAAACATTTCTCCAATAGCTTTGTCATATTTCAAACCCACCAATTTTATTAGATTATTTTATTGTTGTTTGTATAAGTTATCTAGGCTCGAATATTCGGCGTTTAATGATTTTCATATAGGTCTACCAACTTCTCATGTTAGAGAAGTAGACATCCATCAAATATTGTCTCATATTCTTTTAAAAGTATTATAGTACGGATTTTTTGCCTTTCAATAAAAAAGACTTTTGTTGATATCACACAAAAGAAGTAGTCTGCCGTATAATGTCAGTCATAATGTATATCAACACAAAACCATTGAGTGCATGGTCACTTTCATTTCAATTATCATGGTTGTGTGAAGTATTTTCCATACGATTAAAGATGTTCCCCAATATTATGTCATCAAAGAAATTGTAATCTATACTTTCACCAAAACCCAAGCTACCTGAGAGGTAGCAGATGAACCAATCAAATGCTTGCTATTAAAGAAGGTTTAAATCTGCAATTTTGATAGAAAGATTACATAATTCCACACAGAAACCGTGGAGAGAAAATCCAGCAAGAGCTAAATTAGTCCTCATTATCAAACGTCTATTCACATTTTGCAGCATCTAAGTTTTTCTTACTAATGGAAATCAAGTTTTTCTTACGATTTGTCAATCACATTAGCACGACAACGCCAGCGAATAAATATCATTTCTTGAGTCATTTCTATCACTTCGGCTAGCTGCCACCACACACCCGAAACCTTGCATTTATTGCCTGAAATAAAGTTGTAAGAACGAATTTAAATACAAATTACAGTACTTATATATCAACATAGATAAAAAGAAAACTGTAAAAATGGTTGTTGGTCCCACGTTTTTTCATTGTGGTTAAAGCCTTAAACCTTTAAAAAGATTTCATCATTTTCAATAAGTTTTGTTATGATTTTAATTTTTTTTTTTTTTTTTTTTTTTTTTTTTTTTTTTTGTTAATTTTAACATTGATTGTTAACTTTTTTTTTTTTAAATCTGTATAACTATTATTTTTAATATATAATTTTATATATTAATAAATATTATTATATTATATTATTAATTTCTTTTGGTTAATTTTTTTAATTCATTTTTTAGATTAATTTTTTAATTCCTTTTTTAGATTAATTTTTTTATTGGAATATTACTTTAATTTAGTATTTTTTTATATAATAAATATTATTTTGTTGGATTATTAGTTTATTACTTTTTTCTAATTTATGTTATTAATTTTATTAGTTCCACCACAAAGTCACCAAAACACACGAAAGTGTTGCCTCTCATCATCGAAAATAGTCAGGATCACCATAAAACATCTTCATTGGAGGTCAGACAGAAACCCACCAACCTTTTACAATCATTGATGACGATAGTCAAATGCGATAACACCACTGCCATCACCCGATCACCACCACCATTTTTAATGTTAATAGGAGTTTGTTGCGCATTGTGTGAGATATGAAGAATTTCAGCAGATTGTGAAGATGTTATCGCAGGTGGCTACCGGGGATGCAGGATGGAAAAAGTTAGTAGGGTTTCGTTGAACCTCCGTTGAATGTTTTTGGCGATGAACCGGACGATTTTAGTTGACGAGCAGGCCATGCTTTTGCGTATTCTGATAACTTTGTGTTGGAACTAATAAAATTAAAAAGAATTAATATTATACAATACAAAATAAATTAATAATACATTAAATAATATTTATTAGATAAAAAATAATAAAATAAAAGTAATATTTCAATAAAAATAGAATTAATCCCAAAAAAAGAATTAAAATAATTAACTGAAATAAATTAATAATCTGATAATGTAGTACTTATTAGGATAAAAATATTATAAATTAAAAATAATACTTATTAATATATAATAATCCAATAAAAAAGAATTACTCCAATAAAAAAATTAACTAAAATAAATTAGTAATCAAATATAATAATATTTCATAATATATAAATATTATATTAAAAATAATATTTATTCATATATAATAATCTAATTAAAATACTCGATAACAAAGAAATTTAAAAAAAATAATTAAAAGAAATTAATATTCTAATCAAATAATATTTATTTTTATGTAAACAACATATATTAAAAATATCATTTATTAATATATAATAATTCAATAAAAATAAAAAAGAAGATACATAGAAATGATTCTTGTAGTTTGGTTGCAGAAATAGTCCCTGAATGTAAAATAGTCATTTTAAAAAATTAACAACCAAGTTGTTAACGGAAAATAAACCAAAACCACAACAAAACTTGTTTGAAAATGATAAATCTACAATTTTTGAAAAGCTTGGACCTTATAAAATGAAAAGCAACAAGACCATTATTGTAGTTTTGTCATAGATTAAAGAAGATCTTTCTTGATATGTGATTCAGTAACATATTATTCTACAAGCCCACTATAAAGGTTTATTGATTTAGTAATGAAGTTTACAACTCAATAGAAATCCTATATATGTAGAGATAGGTATTTGACATGCAGTAACTGGAACATGTACATGTACCTGTTGTTCCCAGTTGGTGCGCATAGTAATGACCAAGAAAACTATTGCTTGTAGACCACTCCCCCCTATGATCCCCATCCAGAGTCCCTGCATTAAAAAAATATTGTACTTTGAAAATATATAGTTAGAAAAAAAGAGCATATATATATATATATATATATATATATATATATATATATATATATATATATATATATATTCTCTTTTACCATTCCTCCATAATGCAGTAAAAAAGTCAAGATGGCTGAACAAGGAAGACCAACGATGTAATATGCTCCAAGGTTCACAATTGCACCAATGTTTTGCCACCCACATCCTCTTGCAGTACCTTTTTTTTTTTTTTCAGAATTAAATAATGATTTGTACCTTAAAGATTCTGAATTTGCAAGTTTGGGTGCATTAAGTATCGGAAAGATGACGCTTTTTTACCTGAGAGAACACCTTGAATTCCATCCATGAAGTTGGATAATGCAAGAACTGGCATGATTGAAGACATATAACTCACAACTTCTTCTTCATTGGTGAATAAATAGCCCCAGATATGTCGAATAGCAACTAAAAGTAAGCTTATGAGAACCCCTTCTGTAATGGCTAAAAAGATCACAACTCGTGCTGCAAGCTGTGCAGCCTTTGGTTTCGCAGCTCCTAATTCGTTTGAAACTCTCGTGCTTCACATAATTCCGATATGAATATGAGTAAAAACACAAACGTATACTTTTTTAAGATATTTAGTTTGTATTTATTTTATTTTGTAGTAGATGTACCTTACTGCACTTCCAAATCCGTATGGAATTCTGAAGATCACTGAACTTGTAGTGAGACTGCACCAAAGAAAACGATAATTTAAAAAAATACCAAAAGAGGATGGTGTATTTAACAAAGCGAACACTTTTTTTTTTTTTTTACCCTTTAATTCTTTTATCTTTTACACAAGAATTTCGCAAAGGGTTGCATTGCTAATTGCGAAATTACTCTTTAAGGATACTAACCACAAAAAACCTTCAAAAAAAATTCGAAGAAAAACACCATACTTAGCATTATGTGAATGTGCATTTGAGTATTTCACAATATATTTCTATTTTGCAATATTTAATTTTCTTCGAAAATTTTAAAGATTTTTCGTGGTGATTCAAAAAACATTATATATCACAATTCACAATTGGGCACATTTGCAAAATTGGACAAAAAAGTGGTCATGTGAGTATCTTAGAAAATAAAAACAAATTAAGACAACAAAATATGATACATTAACATCAATTCATGTGTGATATGCTTAGGATAACTTAATAACATACCTGACAGACATCATTGAAGTTTCAAGTTTTGGATTTGGAAGAAGACCAGACATGAACACAAGGAACTCGTAAGACCAATACTCCAAGCTAACACATAAACATAAATCACATTAGTTTCTTTTCTAAAATAAACACAATACTAAATTACAATTTACAACCCCTACGCATCTCATAAAATTGAACTCGATAATCAAAAACATTGAAGAAAATTATACCACTATATATTCACATTCCAGACTAACTAACCAGACCATTAGTGCAGATGGTATGCTCAACACAAGAAAGTCGCCAAGATTTGTCACGCCTTCTTTACAAAAACCCGTCCATGTTTTTTCAAAAGCAGGAGAAAACTTGATATAAATCGACAAAATCAACACATTAATCCAATAAGAAACAGCACAAGAAAGTGCAGCTCCTTCACAGCCTAATCCCAACTTAAAAACCAAAATCCAGCAAACAAGAATGTGAATTAAGCTTGTTAATCCAGTGCTTATCATCAAAACTTTTGTGTTACTTTGAGCTTGTAAGAATCTCAACTGACATTGAAGAAGCCCATAAGGAAAGATACTTGGAATCAACCAACGTGTGTATGATCCAGC